AGACAGACTCATAAGAGATAATCAAGCCCAGGTGGTTGTGGCTTTGCCCCCCCCAAGAAAGTATATAAGAAGAAACATTTGGAGGAGACCTTTTGCAGGACACAACCGTTCATAACAAGCTGGAGAAACTCTTGTTTGTATTGTATCTCTTATCTGTGGGAGTCTGGGTTGCTGCCAACGTCTTGCCTGTGAGTCGTGTGTGGGCTGTGAATAAAGTGGCTAACAGTAAGCCTGTGTCGGCATTAATCACCGGACAGAGGGGGGGGGGGTCAGAACAGGTGTCAATTTTAGGTCTTGAGCTATGAGGAAGTACGAAAAAAGGCTCCTTGTTGACTTCCTCGTCCTGAGTCTCCATTGCTGTCGCTGCCTTTACTTTAAACCTACATCAGTTTAGCCATTCCATGTTTGCGGTGAAGTCAGGGCCAGCTCATAGAAGCTTATACCTTTTGATGAATTGCATTAGTGGGAAAAGGTCACAGCAGAACTTTTATGGTTTCTAGTTCTTCAAAAGAAGGATTTTGTACGGAATTTGTAGGGGGGGAAATGCAATTGGTGCCTCTCACCAAAGTGTGCCCTAGAGCCGTGCCCGAAATGGCATGCAGAGCCATGTTGCCTGGCATGCATGGCGTTGCCTGTTCCTCTTTTGGGTTTTTGGCACACATGCGACCATCAGCTGGCCTTTGTGCGTGTGGCAGTGCCAGAAACCAGAAGAGCTGGTCTTCCATTTTCCAGCCTGAGCATGCACATTGGCCAGCTGATCAGTGTGTGCGCATGTGCAGCAGTAACCAGAAGACTTGCTGGCTGGTGTGCATGCATGTGCCAGAAACCAGAAGTTCATTTTCCAGCACTCACATGCCCCCTGGGCAGCTTCTCTTCCTGGTTGCGGCTCAGACAAATGTGCACACACACACACACACACGCAACACACCCCTGCACGCAAAGTGCTGCCTTTTCGGCACTCGGTGTCAAAAAGGTTTGCCATCACTGCCCTAGAGGTATATGGGGTCAGATTCTGAGAGGGCAAAGGTACTCCAGATCCAGTATGACATCCTTGCTGTGACTGTCATCTATTCCTTAATGGAGTTTCCTGCTAACACAAGATCAGAGTTGCTTGAACCAAATGGGGCTTGGACGTCACTTGTGGCTACTGTGATGACAGGAGTATACTCTATTACTTCTTGCTCCTGGCTGAATTAGGCCTGGTACAATTTTGATCAAAGTTAAGCAAGGAAATTTGTCCCTAATACTTTTTTCTTCTTCCCATGTTTCAGTCCTCCTCTTCATGGTTATTGCCTTAGGGGAGAGTAAACACAGCCCAAGGCACAGATATAGAAAGAACATACAGAGGTAGGCACTTAAGAGCTGGATGGTGTCCCCATATAGTGCAGAAATGTAATAGTACTTCTACTTTTAGCTCACTTTGAAGAAAGGATGATTTATTAGCACTAGAAGAACTCAGAAATGAATGAGTTGGAAGAACAGGAATCAATGCATAGCTGGCTTTGTCCTTGAGGGAAATCAAAGGTACTATCCAACTGATGTCGGCTCCAGCCTTATGGTGCAGAATTTAGCTCTTTGCATTATTTGAGGCAGCCCTTTGAGATTCCAGATGTTGAAATTATGTTTCTTACATTGCAGGCCAAGGACAGTGATGATGACGATGAAGTTGCTGTTGGCGTGGATCGGGATCGTTTTATGGATGAGTTTTTTGAGCAGGTGATAAATCCTTATTTATTATTTATTATTTAGTGTATGGCATATCATACATGGACTTGCAATACATATGAACATTTCACCTAGATTAAAACGCAATAAAACATGAGTGTTTAAAAGATCTATAAGAACAGCAGTGGTTCAGTGGTTAGAGTGCAGTACTGGAGGCTACTTCGGCACTTTGGCAGATCGAATCTCATCAGGCTCAAGGTTGACTCAGCCTTCCATCCTTCTGAGTTGGGTAAAATGAGGACCCAGATTCTTGGGGGCAATATGCTGACTCTGTAAACCACTTGGAGAGGGCTGTAAAAGCACTGTGAAGCTATATATAAGTCTAAGTGATATTGCTATATTCAGATACCAATGTCTAGGCCAGCTAACCTTTGAAGCACAGTATTGTTTAGCAAAAGCACTTAGACTTATATACCGCTCCATAGAGCTTTACAGCCCTCTCTAAGCAGAGTCAGCATATTGCCCACAACAATCTGAATCCTCATTTTACTAACATCAGAAGGATGGATGGCTGAGTCAACCTTGAGCCCGTCAGGATTGAGCTCCTGGCTGTGGTCAGAGTCAGCCTGCAATACTGCATTCTAACCACTGTGCCACCATGGCTCTTCTATATGAAAGCTTATGTGGGGGGAAAAATCAGATATTGGATTGGTATATGCCCTCAGCTTACAGCCAGTCACAATGTGATCTTATTTCTTATATACACATGTATAAAGATTAATAAATATAAGGATATTGTCTAGATGGAGGGCGCATAAGACTGGACACTCAACAGTTAGAAAACACCCAATTAACCAAACAATTTTTAAGCATTTTTCTTAGAAACACTTAACAACCTATAACCTGATGAGTCATTATTTCAGAAATATTTTCTTCTCCGATTTATGGGTGCTTTAGAATAGATGGTGGCAGAGCTTCGAATGTTTTTCAAAAGCTTTTAAAAATTCAGGGAGCTAGTCAGAGATGTATCTGCCTTGAAAACAGTTCAATGAAACATCAAAAGTTGACCTCAAGAAATGTTTTAGGGCATTTTGCATTATGTCACAACTTGCTTCATAAAATGTTTTGTAAGATTTACTAAATTTCAATTCTAGGAGAGTCATGAATCCTAGATTTTGGATGCATTCTCTTAAGCCAGCTCATTTGAGATACAGTATTTTGGTTAGCAATAGCAGTTAGACTTATATACCGCTTCATAGGGCTTTCAGCCCTCTCTAAGCGGTTTACAGAGTCAGCATATTGCCCCCACAGTCTG